ATAATATGGTTTGGTGCATGTTTTTTTCCATTTTGTTGTTTCCAGACATATTTTTATGCACTGTAATAAATAAATTAGTTTGTTGTTTTTTTAATAGGGTGCCACTAAATTAAAAAAAAAAATTATGGAGGGATGCTGAGTCTAGAGAGGTTGTGAACCATTGAATCAATGTGAGCCACTGATCATTCAGAAAGCATGCCTGAGTGATCTATTCTCCTAGACTTTCTCTTAAAGAGTGTGGTAAGAAATCCTGCATGTCTGCAGAGATAAACTACAAACAGACTACTCGTGAATTGGTGGGATTCTGGAAAAACATGCAAGAGCTGCTGTGTGGCTTGGAGGAAGACTGTGGGTTCCAACTAGCAAGAAAAGAACAATTACCAAGACAAACAGATTTGTCCCTAAAGCCCCCGAAACAACAAGTACGCTCAGCCTAGTCTCAGCAAGCTAAAGGCTTGGTTGAACTCTGTTTGGATTTCCTTTTAGATGTCTCGGGAGTGTCCAGTAGATGGAATTTGACAAGATCAGCAATTATTGGTTGTCACTCACTAAAACTGGTCACAGGATTGCAGACCTGAAGAGCCACACACAATATCCTCTGGCAAATTATTCAACACATGCTTTGCAGAATGAAAAATCCTCAATTTTTCTGGTTCCTTTCCCACCCAGACACAGAAGAGGAAGAGACTAGAATTACTACCGGTACTTGGAGACCCTCTTTCCTTCACCAGCAAGATGTGATTAGGGTCAGACTGCAGAACAGCAGGAACTGCACACACCCACCTCACAAAACATCACAGGGGCTCTGGTATTTCATCTCCTCAACCCTGTAAGAAGATGATGTGAACTCATGCCAGGAAGGACACTGTGAGAGGACAGTCATTGTAAAAGTCTAAAAGTTAGCCCCAGAAGAGTGGAAGATGACTGAACCCATCCCAGATCTCCCTAGAGAAGGGCTTCATAGCCTTTGCAAGCAGGGACTGGGAAAAAAAGCCTGAATAAGCTACCAGAAGCAGAAGCAGGTCAGCCTAAACCCCACACAAAAACTTCCTTTCCCTGTTCTTTAAATCTGTACCCTGGCTGGAAGAGAAAAAACCTGCTGCAGGCTTTTCTTCACTTTGTGGGGCTTGGTTCTGCAACTTCCAGCAGAAAACAACCATTTCTACATTCCGCAGGTGAGGAGCATTACCCATTTGAGATGAATGAGACATGTTCAAGCAGTTTGAAGAAAATTAAGATTTTTGTAGAACACACTAACTAGCTAGTCATACCTGAGCACATCCATCATTTTGATTTTTTAAAACATTGGATACAACTGTTTAAACTGCAATTTAAAAGGGCTATTAGGGTTGCTACACTCCACAGTTCGGGGTTTCCAAAGATGCCCCACAAACCCAGGGTCTCCTGAGGGACCCCCTAGAGAGTCAAGGGAACTAGCAGCTTCCTTTGGTTTTGGAAAAAAATGAGCAAGAATTTTGATTTTCTTGCAACAATGGTTTTGATTTCCTTTCCATAGAGATGTTATAATTTCTTCTTACTTATTCTTATTCAGGTCAAAATTGTGACCAGCTCTTTATTCTATGGATCGGTGCCTTACGTGTTCCACCGAAATGAATGAACATTAAAGAAAAGGCCTTGGGATAAGGTTTCAGGGACTACTGGAGGACAGACACAAAGCTCAGAATTGTTTTTATCCCCTTATATTTTAGGCTAGACATAGGCTATAGAAAATTCAAATAGAACGGTGCCCACCTGAGCTTGAGGTTGTGGATTGATTGGACTTTTTGGCTGCTCAAGGCACTTGGACTGGGTATCATACTTAATTATGTACTAGGGAGAGAACTTCCTTGGGCAGTTTTGAAAACCTTAGGTCTTTTAAAAGTCACATTCATTCTCTGGCATGTGCTATTCATCTGTATTTTGCATTTCTTTCACACATTTTCCCACTAATTATTAGACTTAGTATTGTTTCCAGTGTATTTGTGAACTTGTATCTACACATCAATCCAAAGATTAATTACAACCAGGGCCGGACACAGGCATGGGCAAACCGGGCAAGTGCCCGGGGTCCCGAAAATGGTAACTTTTATCATCATCATCTCTGGCGAAGGGAGGCCCAATATTAAAAGTTCACCAAGGGCCACCAGGAGTCTATGTACGGTGCAAATTACAATTCATGAAAGCATATCCAATCTAGTTTTAAACTAGTTCCTATTCTGTGCAACAGAAGATGATTGAACTCACCTTTTAACTTTGAAACAGATTTCTAGCAAAGATGTGAGGTAGTGAGTAGTGATATTTGCCCTGGCATTGCCTGTAATATGTCTGTTTGACTAGAGTATTTGTTTGCACATCTTCCAATCCGGTACACTTCACAGGCAATGTAACGAGTTCAGCACTGGAGCCACAAGGTCCCCTGGCCTGACTTGTCACCTGATTCCTGCCTCCCTACCCCATCTGCCTCCCAGGCGTCATCTCGTCTGCCATGTTTTGGTGGTATAATTTCATAGGGAAGCTACCCGCAGGAGGATGATGTGGGGTTTGGGGTACGGACTTGTCCGAGCTGAGGCTCTTCCTGGCATCAGCTCACTTTTGATCTGGCTGAGTACCACTGGCCAGAGTCCACTGTGCCAGGACCCTAGGCTCTTGGCTGCAGCTTAGCCCAGCCCAGCCCTCTGTGGACTCTGGGCTACTTGGCTTCAAGGCTAACCCTGGCAGACACAGAGTTTTTGCCCCCTCAGTCTCTATTGCCAGATACTCAGTCCTCTGGTGCACTACCAGTCCTTATTCCAAAAGGAATTTGGGCTCCTGCCCACAGATAACACTACAGGACTTCAGGCCCTAGAAATGCTCTAACCTGGGGCTTTGCCCCCCCCCAATTGGCCTCTAAACCTCACCTTACAACTACATCTGATCCTCCAGTATAAGCACCAATCAAAACACAAGTGTCTGCTACCAAAACAAAGTTCACAAAACACAAGGAATCCCATAATAGCACCACTCAAAAGTTCAAGATACTTAGCTCTGGCTGCTCCAGGTACAGGATATCTTCTGCCCTTCTGTGGTGCAGAGTTCTTCCTCCATAGGCAGCCCAGGCTGGTTCCTCCCTGGAGCTCAGCCTTTTGTGGCTCCTACAGCCAGGCTACCCCTTCTGCTGCAGGCCCTAGGCTTGAGTCTCTCCTTGGGTCATCTGACCCTCTAATTCTGCCCCAAGCCTGCAAATCACTGCCTGTACCTGGGGTAGGGGACCATTTTATTTAGGTGGTGTTCTGCTTTTATTGATCTATTTAAGAGGCTGGGGCTGGCCAATGTGCCTTGGATTCCCTCTTCCTCACAGTAATGGGGCAGGAGCCCCATTACAGGCGCTAAATGAAAAGAGAAGAATATAGGTTGTTAAAATATGTGCTTACGTTTTGGAGTAAAAGGAAAAAAAAGGAATTCTGTGGTTTTCATATGTTTGGATTTTTTATAAGGCATCCAAGTTTGTTGTTTGCTTCTGCAAAGTCAATTCCAGTTCCGCAGATGAGCACTTTCATGGTCCTAGGGTCATGTATGATCTGTTTACACTTTAAATTCAATTATGCTCAATAGCAAAATGCAGACTAAATCTTACAATGAGGATTTCATTTTGATCCCACTTACACAAGGGTAACTACCTTGACAATGCACACCAGTCACCTCCAATGTGGTAGTGGAAGGTATTCCAACTCAGAAATTAACCAAATCTCTCTACATTGCAGGCCGTGTCTAAAAATCACTAAAAATAATCCCCTCCAAAAACACCATCCAGGAATTCTTGTATGTAAAGATCAAATGTCTTACTAAGTTGAAGGTCTACAGGGCAATGATACTGATAACTCTGATGGGTATAAGATCTGGAAAGTATACTGAAGGTACATCCAAAAGCTAGTAATTGCATCAAAGATTTTTACATATCTTGATTCAGGTTAACTGATGTTAATAGTGTGAAAAATGCTGAAGTTCTGCAGTGGACAAGTTGCTTTTCACTTGGCATTTGATACAGAGGTGTGACTACCCAAAAATACCCAAGAAGCTGCTGTACAGTGGGGCAGCACTTGGCAAGGGGAAGTATGGCTGTTCTAGGAAATATCTCTGGGTGATGCTAAGTGGTGCCTGACAAAACTAAACATTTCATTTGTCCATTTGGACACATCCACATGAGCGCAGACATTTGTTTCCCCAGGGACAAGAAGCAGTGGCACACCTTGTGCTGCTACTACTTGGCTCTGAGGAAAATCTGTGCTACACACGCTCTGGCACACAGCAGGTTACTCCAGGTGGGGTAGGAAGGCTGGGGCCAGCAACTGTGCTGGCCCCAGCAGCCTGGGGACCCTGGGGGATGGGAAAGCTGCAGCCAGGGTGCTCCTGCACCTGGGAGCTTGCCAGCAGCCAGAGCATGGCTCCAGCCAGCCAGGTTCCAGTTTTGGGAGGTGTGCGTCACTGCCATGTGTGCAGCTCTGCTTTTTTTCTATACAGGATCTCCTGGAGTCAAAAACCACCCTGTGCTGCAATGCAGACGCATGGAGAATGCCCAAATATGTGGTGTCATAGACGTGTCTGCAGTGCCACATACCGCACAGCCATGCTCATCTGGATACACCCTGGGTATTTGACTGCACAGGTCCCAAATGTAGGTGTGATGCATTGTGAGCATACACATTGAAATTAAAAAGTGTGTGAAGAAAAAGAAATGACAAGAGCAACAGACTGGTTTACAAGGCATGTAGAAATGTGAGTTACGTGGAAGAAACTGCTTGTCATGAATTTGTCCCCTCAGTCCCTTGTTCACTGCTCCACTATCCCACTGCCATCGTCATTGACAGCAAGGGATATGCAATACACATTGACGTATGTCTGAAACAAAATGGATATAGGCTGATTTACACTAGTTTAGGAGCAAACCATACATCTACTGAAATCAATTTTAGGAAGTGATGGCACACACTTTAATATTTCAGAAAGAATTACTTTATTCACGTTTTGCTTTTTTGTTTTGTTTTGAGTGAGAAAAGATAAAGATACAGCAGAAAACTTGGTCAGAGATACAGACGGGAACAAAGTAATGTACAGCACCTTTTATATCTTGAAAGCTAAAATGATTTTGGTCCATTCTGTAAGTAGGATAAATACATACAAATGAACCAAAATACTATAACACTAGCACCTTGCATCCAATGTAATTTTGTACAAGTGCATGAGGTATTGTTTTCTTTAGTGCATCAAAAGTGCACATTTTGGTGTTTTCAAACAATATCAAGTTTTAATATTTTTACTGTACCTCTTTTATAGCACAGGTAAAGAAGTGGAGAAGTTTGACCCTTCCCACTCTAGGAAGATTCTACGCATAGCGCTTCGCAGTCCTCTTGGGTTTCAAATCTGTTTTTGTTGCCTCCACAGCCACCATACCAGAACTGTCCACATGTTTTCTGCTCTTTGTCATAGTACCACTTCAGAACATAATCCTGGCATTCTCCAGTTTCCTGAGCCACCACACAAGCATCTAGAAAAAGCAAACAAGAGCTGGAATTAAAAGTCCTGGCAGAAATTCATGAATGCTGGTATGTCAGGGAACAATTATGTTCTGTTTAGATGGGCAGATTCTAATAGTAGCAAGCTTCCTCAGGCTTTATTAAAGAAGGTGGCATGAGTCCACTCCCACCTACCCACTGTGGTGTAAACAACATGGTGGGAATTAAGTGTATAGGAGTTTTAGGGTCCTAATGTATTATAAAACCTACAGTAGGCAGGCAGATCATGTTAGGATAGACTTTGCCTTAAATGTTTAAAAACTGTTCCTATTCATGCAGTCTATGACATGTCTTAGTGAATGCCTGGTGTTTTGCAAATAAACTATACTAAGAGGTATGCTTACCAAGAGAAAACAGGTATAAGATCCATGAAAACCTCTAATCCAAAAGTAATGGGATGAAAAAATGAACAGGTTATAGGTTGGCTAGAACAAAAATGAACCCTCTAGCTCATAACCAAATTCTGACCTCACTTCAATCAAATTAATTTTATCCGTATACATCAGTGGACTGACCTCAAGCTTTTACATGAGTATGATATCAGAACATGACAAAATGAAACTCAGTGGCCTTGTCCACACAGGCAAGCAAGTACGGTTTGTGGTGCCACAAACTGCACACATTGCATGTTAAACTGTGCAATGCTGCTAATTTGCCGCACGGGGGCAAAAAACTCCAGAAAAAAGCAGCACAAAGCACACAAAAATAGCATGCACCAGGACAAACATGGATATAGGGAAGAAAGCAGCCCAGGGCAGGGAGAGCAGGCAGCCCAGCGCCACACTGAGGCATGTGGAGACAGAAGAGCAGCCAGCCCAGGGCTTCCTGCTCCCTTGTCTCTGCATACTGCAGAGCCCCCGCACTGAGGCACACAGCACCTCAGTCAGCCATAGACTGGCTGGCTGGGGAGATGAGGAAGCAGGCTGGCTAGGGCGCAGTGTGCCTAAACTCAGGGGCTCCACAGCACATGGAGACAGTCTGTCTTTACATGATGCATCCCAACAGGCTGAGGCACAGAGTGCCTCAACACAGGGCTGCCTGCTGGCTAGCTGTATAATGAGGCACCCTGTGCCCCAACCAGCTCCCCTTGCAGCACATGGAACCCAGCCAGGAGCCGAGAAGAGCTGGGCATGGGCAATTTACCCACAGCAGGAAAATGTGTTCTGCAACAAAGGGCATGTGCAGGGAGGTGCACTGCGGCACAAAGTAGTGGCTCAAATTTGTGCCGCTACTATTTGCGCCACTGCAAGCACATGTCCCTACTTGTCTGGATATGGCCAGTGTCATGAAAAGCAAAAACAGAATTGGATTGCTTAATTTTATATTCTACATGTATCCTTCCTCACCCACAAATCAGTGCACTCTACACCCACCGATAGCTGAAGATCCCAGGCCGTTTTACGTGGAATTGTTGTGAACAAAATTGGTGGAACATTTTTTTTTTTTTTTTTTTAAATACTAGAGGAACAAATCAAGTTTTGGAAATACTAGATTACATCAGTGGTCTGAGCAGCTGCTATCATTGTTCAAACACTAAATTAAAATAGCCTAACAGTCGTAGGCTGCAGCTTGTAGACAGTATTTTATTTTCAGTGGAGCAGCCATTCAAATCAGAAACCCATACATGCTGCTTCATTTTGTTTTCCTTGCAAAAATTATACCCAATTGTAGACTAAGGAAAAAAGAAATAGTGAACACAAGATTTAGGCAAGCATCAATCCTCTGGATCATGGTGTACGTGTAAGAGGTCTAGTCAGGTGACTTATGAATCCACTTATGACTATCTGCTTGTGATGGTCTTACAACCATCACACCAAGACCTTCAAGGTATATGCAAAAGAATAGAGGAGTGGAGGCTGCCCAAGACCTACCAGATGTTCAGTGCCTTGATGGTTGTAGCTTTTGCCAGAGAGCAACAGATTAAAACTGCTGCTGACTGCCTTCACAAGGTCTGAAGAGCAGCTGCCTGGTTGGAAACTACCTGTTGGCTGCCCAGTTCTGTACAAAGATAGACTCCACTCCAAAGACAGATAGACTTCCACATGTATACAGGAAGTACATGTGTATTTCCTCTCCCCAACCCCCATGCTAAGCACTCCTGTTCCAGGAGAGATCAGTCTTTCACAAGAGAGACCCAAGTAACAAGTTAGAATGCTGCAACTTGCTGACAATGTTAATAGTTTAGAACGCTTTGAAAATTCAATTTAATTCTAGCAACCAAGAGCCAGCTACTTGTTTCTGTTTTACTACAGATTTACATACCTACCCAAACATTACTGCACTAAACAACCCCAATTCTGCCTTTAGTTGCACATACAGAACTCTTACCATGAAAAATTAGGAATGCATAACACATTTAGAAAACGTGTCTACAAATGACCAAAATTACTTAGCACTGAATAAGTACCATGAGTCTGATCTAAAACCTGTTACAGTTAACAAGTGGCTTTCCAGTTAGTTCCAGGGTTTTAGATCAAGCCCTAAACTCCATACATACCGTGGTTAGTGAGAGCAGTTCCTGTTCCTACTGTCTCTTCTAAGTTTTCTTCATTGTTTTCTTGGCCTCCTTCATATTCCTTCCTCTTGCCTTCTTCCTTATGGCCCTCTGTGAAATACTCACCACCCTCATAATCATATTCTTTTTCTCTAACATTTTCAGGTTCCTGAGTAGTCTCTGTAATTTCTCCTAATAATGTAGTTTCCGTTGGCTCTCTTTCTTCCAAACTCCTGCCAGGGTCCAGTTCATCAAATTGAGGGAAAGGTATGCTTCAGAGGGGAGGGGAAAAAGCCACACACCACATGTTAGCACTAGGAAGCACATGAAAAACATGCACAACATTCATTCATCAAATTATTGTTAGTGAAGATCTTCAGGTTAGACGTGTGTTTCTGTCAACAGTAATGAGAACTTAACCAGGGATTTCACAGGCATTTAGAGAGCTGCTCTAAAGTGCCCAGAGCGTCACATGCATCAGCGTCCCCATGTTGAAAAATGGCAGCAGGGTCACTGTAACCCCTGCTGCCATTTTTCATCACAGAGACACTGACACATGTGATGCTGGAGCTGCTGGAGTGCAGTAATTACCATGCTTCAACAGACTTGAGACACGCTGTAATTACAGCATGTTGGACCAGCCTTGCTGCACATGTATAGGTGCCCAAAGAAAGCAAGTCCTTTATTAGGAGAGCAGACGTATACATACAGTGGCATTTCATACACTGCTAAAAAAGAATGTAGGGAACCTCAGGGGCCCATTGGGTCAGACGGGCATCGTGAGTTTTTGTAGGCAACAACCTATTTTGTCAGATGCTATGCATCTCTTAGTTGAGTAGAAATGATCATACCTTTCAAAAACAGCTACTTGTTCTTGTGCATCTCCTTGATCTAGCCTTTCACACTCTTCTTGTAGTTCTGGAGTAGGGTAACTGTTCATTTCACCTGTGAGGAAAAGGGCAGGGAGCTAAGCCTGAAATTTTTGAAGTCTCAAATAATGATAAATTTAAAGGAAAGCATGAAATTATTGTTGACTAAAAGCAAGCGTCTTCCAATAAAGAAGCATAATACAGCTAGATCAGCACCAAGAAGCAGAACAGAGCAAGGCAATAAAATAGCTTTAGAAATCACCCATAAAATTTACAAGTGATTACTGTTATACAATAACAGAGAATTCCAGGTTCATCTTTGTGTATGTATATCTGAAGTAAATGGGATTGTGTGCTACTTACGTTTTAGTAGATTTAGGAAGGCCCAAGTAAATTTCTCAGCATATGCCATTTCAAGATTCAAAACCCTGCCCATCTGCAATAAGTGCTGGTCTGTTGGGGAACTTGAGAGATCGATTAGCTCACTGTCACTAACTTTGTTTCCAAGTGCTAGGGTGAACATGATGAATCCTTGGCATTTGGCTTCTAGTGCAGCCTTTTTCAGTTTCTGTCTGTCCCAGGCACTCGTCTTACTTCCAACTATTGTAAATATGACCCTGTATTGTTTTGGGCTGGGAGCTTTGAAAAATATGTTCTCAACTGTCCACTGTAAGGCATGACCAATGGCAGACGGCCCTTCCAGTTGGTGAACAGATTCTTGGATATGCTTCTTCATCAAGTTTTTACTGCTGTACGTGACTAGATCAAACTCTGGGTTCACTGGCTGTCTACCACTGCTGGGTGTAAAGTCTCTTGGAGCCTGCTGTACCAGAGCTACTCTAGCTCCTGCTAGAGAAGGCTGTGGGGCGATAATGAAGTGATCTATCATAGTGCTCACAAAGTCTTTGGCTGTCTCAAATTCTTCACTGGCAATGTGGCGAGAACTGTCCATGATATAAGCAATGTCCATGTTCACCATGACAGGAGGGGGGAAAGGAACCTCACAGTTTATATCTGGTTTACATTTATCTAGGGAGAAAACATAAGCAGATAAACTATTTTGCAGTGTAAAAAGAGCCAATCAAATCCTTAATTGAGCCATTTTGGTTTTTATTTAAAGTTTATCTTATAAATCAGTTTGACAATTAGAAATCTTATTAATGTGCTAAGTAACATGAACAGACTCTCTCTAAATGATGTCCTGATATTCCATGAAAATTATAAATAGTTGGTTGAAAAAAAAAAGTTTCCTGAAAACATTACCCTGCAGCTGAAGAGCTCTTGTGTATTGTTTCCAAGAAAACTGAACAAAATAAAGACTATTGGAACAAGCTCCATTTTTTCTCTCCGATTATTGTCCAGCATTCCTAAACGCATTTCTGTGGAAAACCTCTCCCATCATTGAAAGTTTCAGTAAATGAACCTTATTTCCCAGAACCAGCATACTATTTAGAGTAACTTCTACTATATGTGCAATGGAACACTTGAATTATTTTACATCAACCAAGCAGGAACAATTAAATAGCACTCTTATTTTTGAGAAACTAATTTTTACCATTCATCTTGGCTAGAAAATTGTTACACTAAGAGTTAGAAGGTTTGTTGCTACAAAATTAAGTACGCCAAAACAGCAAACAATGTGTTTTTGTAAATAGCCTTACCATAGCAAAGTGCACAATACTCAATTCTCTCCAAGTGTTCATTTTGTTGATTTTCCCAAACAAACAGCTGAAATCTTCCAGTGTCATCATTCTGTATTTAAAAGAAAACATGCAATTGTCTAAACTAGAAATGCACTAAAAAAAAACTGTTTTCCTAATTGCTAATATGATTTATCTGCTGCAGTCTATCCATTACTCATGGGTTTTGCTTATATCATATTAGTGAACAGGTACAAGCAAAAAATTGCAAAGATTTTTGGGTGCCATTTTGATAACCTGTGAGTTTCACAGGTCTTAATTAGAACATTTAATGTGCAGAGAAGATGGAGCATGGGGAATGGAAAAGAGGATAAAAAAATCCTACTGTCTACAACAGTCAATTTCTCTTAAAGGGTAAAGTGATCTTACAGTGAAAGGAAAGTTTTGTCAAGAAGTTTTTGTACTGAGACTCAAGAGATTAGGTATCTTATCCTGGTTCTACCAGAGCCATTCCATGTCACTTTGGACAAGTCACTAAGGGTATGTCAAATCAGCAGAATACAGTATTGTGCAGCGATATATATATAAGCTAGTTCTGAAAGAGTTAGCTCAGGTGTCAGAAGAGGGATAGCCCATTAGCCAAGGCAGAGCTAAGTACTAATTAGCTGTGCTGAGACATTCCCTGCCTGCCAACCAGAGACACTACAACTTACTTTCTCATTTCTTTCATCTTTCCTGACTATTTAGATTGCAAACTGTTTAAGATAAGAACTAACTTCTTATTCTGTGTTTGTATAGATCTAGGCATATTAGACTGACAGGTGCCATTGTAACACAAATAAAAATCCCATCAGATTGTAATTAAATTGTGGAAGAAATCAAACTTCGCGTTGTGGTTGTATTAGAATTGGCAGATCCACTATGTAAGTAGGAACTGTGAATTAAGGTTAAAGAAAAGAGTTAAGAAACTGTATTGGTGTTGTCAGTGAATGAATCCCTGTGTGAACTGAGTTAAGTTCTGCAAAGAACTATGAGATCTTTCTCAAGCTAGGAGTGGAAACCTTGTGCAGCTGCCCCAAGGACACCAGGCTGTATACTCTTCGAAAGCAAGGGTGCAAGGTGGAAACTCTTAGACTGAAGGAGATCAGGGTTGAGAGAGAAACTTTCCCTCCGTGTCTAACAGTGAGCAACTGCATTGTGTGCTGGTGCTATGGACATTAGCCACAGCATTTCTGTGCCACTAGCAAATCTCACAACCTGACCGGACACCCTCAATAAGCCTCTCCTGTGTGAAAGACCTGTGTGAACTGAGGTTAAGGACATGGGGAGCAGAGGGTATAAGGACGTACCGGCTCTGCCAAAAGGGACTCCAGCATTGTACATGTACACACACTATGGCCGTAAGAGTTGTAAGTTTCTAGGTAAATGGAATTGGTATACCAGAGATGATGCTAGCTTGCAGTTTCCCCTGGAGGGAACATTTGATTTAAGTAAAATCCTTCATCTCTGCGGAGCCTTTGAGTCAAGAGGCAGTAAAACACCACAGACTCGGTGGGATACATTTTTTGATTGCAGAAGTATGCAGAAGCTTCCAAAAGACGTCAATAATCTCAAGTTCGGAGCCTTAAGGACTCCCAAGAAAAACTAAAATCTCAGATAAAAGAATTAAAACAGAAAAGTGCACCAAAAGGGGATCCCCCATCAACAACATTTTCAGCACCGACACAACTTTATCCACAATTGACTGAGAATGAATCTGTAGAAGACCTAATTGATTTTTTCAGTGTGCCACCCCCATACCTTTCTCAGGCACAATCTGAACCCGAGGAAGTTCAAAGTAACCAGATAGATTCTTCCTGTGAAATCAGCCCACCCCATCAGAAAACCATCACTCAACAACCATCACCTGCCCCTGGGGCATGCCCACGGCCACCGGAGACATGGCATCTGTCTCCTGAAGCCTCGACCTCCTCTTATTTAAGGTCAGGCACCCAATATGGTCCAGTTCCACCTTTAAAAATGAAAAAGACTCGTCTTATGCCTTTACCCCAACCCCCAGGGCAGGGTCCAAATGGGGAAACTACAGTCACAGTCCATGCCCCCTGGACCCCAGGAGATCTCCTAAACCTTTTTAAGCAATTCCCCAATATCAGGGAAGAACCCCAGAAGTTTAGAGAGGAATTGGAAACTGTAATCAATTGTTATTAGCCAACATGGGCAGATTTAAACCAATTAATGAGAAGTGTTCTGCCCTCCGAAGTCCGTAGCCATCTCATTGCACAGGCTAACTGGCCTCCTCAAGACCCCGTAATGGGAGGTCACTTAGTAAGTGCCTGAGAACGCCTTCTTGAATCCGTGCTTAAAATCTGCCGCAGGAAAACTGACTGGTCCAAAATAAATAACTGTAAACAAAACAAAGGAGAATTCCCAGCAGACTACATGGATTGCTTGAAACTCGTATTTGAAAGACATTCCGGGATTGAAGATGCAGCTGAAACTGCCCCAGAAGCAGTTGCCGCCACTTTTGTCCAAGGACTTCTTTCTAAAGTCCAGGAACAGCTGCGTATAATTCCTGTAGGTTGGCAAACTAAGACGCTTACAGAATTAGTCACCGTTGCTAATCACTGTACAGCCTGCCAAGAAAAGAAAAAGGAATCCACAGAAACTAAGCTAATGTCTTTACAAATACAAA